AATCTATCTTACAATATGGTTGGCTTACAATATGACTGTCTAACAATATGGCTTCCTCACAGTCTGTCTTACAATATGGCTGCCTCACAATATGGCTTCCTCACAGTCTGGCTTACAATATGGCTGCCTCACAATCTATCTTACAATATGGCTGCCTCACAATATGGCTTCCTCACAGTCTGGCTTACAATATGGCTGTCTCACAATGTGGTTGCCTCACAATCTATCTAATACAATATGGTTGGCTTACAATATGACTGCCTAACAATATGGCTTCCTCACAATCTATCTTACAATATGGCTGCCTTACAATATGGCTGCCTCACAATATGGCTGCCTCACAATCTATCTTACAATATGGCTGCCTCACAATATGGCTTCCTCACAGTCTGGCTTACAATATGGCTGCCTCACAATATGGCTTCTTCACAGTCTGGCTTACAATATGGCTGCCTCACAATGTGGTTGCCTCACAATCTATCTTACAATATGGTTGGCTTACAATATGACTGCCTAACAATATGGCTTCTTCACAGTCTGTCTTACGATATGGCTGCCTCACAATGTGGTTGCCTCACAATCTATATTACAATACGGTTGCCTTACAATATGACTGCCCAACAATATGGCTTCTTCAGTCTGTCTTACAATATGGCTGGCTCACAATATGATTGCCTCACAATCTATCTTACAATATGGCTGCCTTACAATATGGCTGCCTTACAATATGGCTGCCTTACAATATAGTTGTCTCACAATACTTACCCCTCCTTCAATTGATTGTAGAGATGTCAATGACGTTGACATTGCCAACGCTGTGTTCTCTGCTTCCACTCTGCCCAAGAGCCCAACATCTTTCTGAGCTGAAAATAACCAATAAAATACACAATTTTGAATCTTTGAAACTACAAAATTGAGAGGATATATGAACATGGAGTAAAACATCAGAAATTGTACATTTTAATATACAATAATTCAACCATACTGAGTTGTATTGGCCCAGCCACAAGAGGCTGGAAATGGTACAAAGATTTTGATTGGTCTATCATGTTCTATTTTCTTTGGTTACTGGTGATTATTCTCCAGTGATAGAGAGCAGCAGGGATTGCTTTTGACTATCAAATTTTGAAGTGAATATACAAACTGTTTTATTTGTTATATCCCTCACTAAAATATGAAGAAATGCTCTCACCATCAATTATGTAGTTTATAAGCAGACAGACTGAATTCTTTTATTGCAGTATTACAGACTGGTTTATTTAAAACAGAGATTGTTTTCATATTATGTCACAGAGTCACTTGCCATTGGATCGAGATTCAGAACCAATGAAACAAGATGGTGCTCGCCAGTTACCTGTGTCCTACTTGTTGTTCAGAAGGGAAGCCAGGAAACAGCAAAAAAGCTGAATTGAGGTAAACTGAGACATATCCTTACCTTGATGTTTCAGAGCACTAATGTACATATTACAGTCCTGAGGTGGTTGCCATTTTGGATTTGTCATCTGAAAAAACAAAACAATGAATTGTTTATCTGTCTAGGTAAGGGAATACCTCAGGAGTAAGGCAGTAAGGAATACTTTATCATACAAGTCATGGTATCCAATTATGGAAATACCTGTACATCCACTGCGGAATTTCAAATATCATTATACATTTTAGTTATGCAAGAATTTGATTCTATTTTTGATACAAAAATTTTTCAAAATTTGTATGAGTAATTTTTATTGAAACCAGGACACATAACCTGGGGTCCTGGTAAAAATTGTTTAATTACCGATAGTAGCCACTCTGGATGTTACAATTTTGCAGCACAATTCAAAACAAATTGGCATTTCCATGGAAACAAGTGAAACGGTATCTCTAATTTGAAATTGCAATTAGACAAAACCATTAGTGTTCTTTTCCATTTCACTACGATGTAAATTCTGGTATCATTCAAGATATAGAAATCTTTACAAACTCATGAAGTACAAGACAAAAATATTAATTTCGTTCGCAACTTCGATAGCAGAGCATGCAAGCACTGGATGGTTATTTTACATCTTAATTACTGCTAAGAATTCATATTTGATGTAAGTGACATTAGTCCAGCTGTTCACCTTGATGATCTAAGAAATAGAAGGTGGTGGGTAGTAGGGATACTTACTGTGAAGTGCATAAGAGAAAGTTCACATTTTCCATCTTCAGCTTGTTGATATTGAGTCGCCTCACTTTTACCGTCAGACATCCACTGTAACCAAACAATACAAATCAAGATCACAACATTATTAATGATGACTATATACAGTGTGTTACTCCCAGGGTACATTGCAGTACTCCCAGAGTGCATTGCAGTACTCCCACGGTGCATCATAAGAATATCAAGATGCATCATAAGAATATCAAGATACATCCTGGGAATGCCAAGATGCATCATGGGAGTATCAAGATGCATTATGGGAATATCAAGATACATCATGGGAATATCAAGATACATCATGGGAATGTCAAGACGCATTATGGGAATATCAAGATACATCATGGGAATGCCAAGACGCACTATGGGAATATCAAGATGCAATATGGGAATATCAAGATACATCATGGGAATGCCAAGATGCAACATGGAAGTATCAAGGTGCATTATGGGAATATCAAGATACATATACATCATGGGAATGTAAAGATGCATCATGGAAATGCCGAGATGCATCATGGGAATATCAAGATGGACCATGGAAATGCCAAGATGCATCATGGGAATATCAAGATGGATCATGGGGGATCTTAACATAATTGATCAAGCTTCATTCACAATCATACACGCATGAACACATGTTGAATAACAAAAATTACAGAAAACATGTTTCAGACTGTAAAGTTGTTTTATACAAATCAATACCTGAGGATTGCCATGCTTTCTTATATCCATCTGGGCAAAGGAGCAGACATCACCAACACCAACAACATCCACTGTAAAATTATGGTAGAAATCCACGATATCAAGTGCCTTGTACCGTAGTTTGAAACACAGAATATATGGTGTGATCAGTGGACTCAATAATTCTTCTAAATAATGAACCTGCAAGAAGATCAAGGGTATGAAGAGTCCCGTATTTTGTGCACATGTAAGACTGACTGGGGTATTTAAGACACAGAATAACATCGACTTTGACTGGGGTAGTTAAGACACAGAGTCACAGAGTCACAGTGACTTTGACCGGGGTAATTAACCTTTTCACCACTAATTCCCTCTTTTCATCACAAATTCACAAAATAGTTCTGTTTATAGTCTAACTTTTCTTCAGAAGCTGAGACAAAAATAGCCAAATTTTTTGAGTAATTCAACAAAATTGGTCAAAGTCTGTCTGAGAAATGATAACAAAAGGATAGTTAAATGTAACACAAAACATAAGTCCCCATTTCAGACTATACCCAATGGGGCCTAATAAACTTACAGCTTTGTACTGGAATAACCGTGAGAATTTATTTCTTGCTTCCCACGTATGTGCAGTTCCTTTTACATCATCTGGGATATAATGTATCTGTGCCAGCACACTCTGCATCAATGTCTCCGGACACCATACTAGATGCTGAAAGAGACCACCAAGACATTATTTACAAATATTCATTAACAAGCAGCCTATCGGCTGAGATAGCTCCGCTGTTAGCAATGCACATGGCAATTAAAGAACAGAAGATATCATTAGAAAATGAACAAATCTGAGAGAGGTCCACATGTAGTACCTATATGTATAATATATCAAAGCAATTGGACTTGAGGTTTTTAACAAGAAGTCGAAAATATCACTTTTTACCAAAAATGACAAAATTATTCACCAAAATTAGAAAATTAAAGATATCATTACAAAATGAACAAATCTGAGAGAGGTTCACATGTAGTACCTATATATGTCATATCAAAGCAATTGGACTTGCGGTTTTCAACAAGAAGTCAAAAATATCACTTTTTACCAAAAATTACAAAAATATTCACCAAAATTAGAGAATTAAAGATATCATTACAAAATGAACAAATTTGAGAGAGGTCCACATGTACCGGTAGTACCTATATATGTATGTGATATATCAAAACAATTGTACTTGCGGTTACCAAAAATTACAAAAATATTCACCAAAATTAGAGAATTGAAGATATCATTATGAAATGAACAAATCTGAGAGAGGTACACATGTAGTACCTATATATGTAATATCGAAGCAATTGGACTTGCGGTTTTCAACAAGAAGTCGAAAATATCACTTTTTACCAAAAATGACAAAAATATTCACCAAAATTAGAGAATTAAAGATATCATTACAAAATGAACAAATCTGAGAGAGGTCTACCCAAGGTACTTATACACCAAGTATCAAAGCATTCAGGCTTGTAGTTTTCAAGCAGAAGTCGAAAAAGTAAAACATTGACACGGACGACGACGGACAATCACTCATATGATAAGCTCCACTCCACAAAGTCGACAGCGGAGCTAATAAAAAACAGGCAATAGTGTGTTTGTGTTAAAAAATTATTTGTTTTAAATTTTATTACAATTTTATGCATTTATTTTATGCTATAGATTAATTCGTAAGATTTATTGATATCCACATTATGTGAAGTGAATTAAGATCATTGTAATCTATAGATAAGCAGACTTAGTTCAGTGTCACCCACCCAGACCCAATTCAGCTATAAATTGTTAGATGTAGTTGGAGCACTTTGCAAAAACATTTAATCAATACAAAGCTTGTTTAGAGAAACATAAATACCGGTATTCATTTTTTTCATTTGAAATGTATATTGTGGTTTGAAGGTTATGTTATGTACTTAATATCATAACCAACTATTTTAACATACAATTAGGTCTTTCCGAGAGTTCTAACAGGACTGATTTTGTAGGAATCCTTACTCAAAATAGAATTCTCCCAAATCAAGTTGAGTCAGTTTGTTGATTGCTGGGGAGGGGGGGGGGGGGTGTTGGTCTTCAAGAAAAAAAGTGAAATTGTTTATGATTGTATAGGTGACTTGAGGCACAAATAAAAATGTTGTGGTTCCTGATTTTGTTTATAAAATGTGAATTACATTACACCAAATTACAAATACTATAGTAAAATGTTATAGCAAGATCACTCTGCAATGTACAATTTTATGTTGTGTCATTGAAGCCCCATGA